TGAGGATCTATGAATGATCCAATGTTGTCCCAAATGACTGATGATGATAAATAGAATCCACCTGTGTGTAATCAAGTCTCCGTATTAATGCACCTGCTCTGTGATAGTCTCAGGGTTCTGTTCAGAGCGCAAAGAGCATCATGAAGACCAAGGAACACACCAGGCAGGTCCGAGATACTGTTGTGGAGAAGTTTAAAGCCGGATTTGGATACAAAAAGATTTCCCAAGCTTTAAACATCCCAAGGAGCACTGTGCAAGCAATCATATTGAAATGGAAGGAGTATTAGACCACTGCAAATCTACCAAGACCCGGCTGTCCCTCTAAACTTTCATCTCGAACAAGGAGAAGACTGATCAGAGATGCAGCCAAGAGGCCCATGATCACTCTGGATGAACTGCAGAGATCTACAGCTGAGGTGGGAGAGTCTGTCCATAGGACAACAATCAGTCGTACACTGCACAAATCTGGCCTTTATGGAAGAGTGGCAAGAAGAAAGCCATTTCTCAAAGATATCCATAAAAAGTGTTGTTTAAAATTTGACACAAGCACCTGGGAGACACACCAAACATGTGGAAGAAGGTGCTCTGCTCACATGAAACCAAAATCAAACTGTTTGGCCACAATGCAAAACGATATGTTTGGCGTAAAAGCAACACAGCTCATCACCCTGAACTCACCATCCCCACTGTCAAACATGGTGGTGGCAGCATCATGGTTTGGGCCTGCTTTTCGTCAGCAGGGACAGGGAAGATGGTCAGAATTGATGGGAAGATGGATGGGGCCAAATACAGGACCATTCTGGAAGAAAACCTGTTTGAGTCTGCAAGAGACCTGAGACTGGGACGGAGATTTATCTTCCAACAAGACAATGATCCAAAACATAAAGCCAAATCTACAATGGAATGGTTAAACGGTTAAATGGTTAAATAAACATATCCAAGTGTTGGAATGGCCAAGTCAAAGTCCAGACCTGAATCCAATCGAGAATCTGTGGAAAGAGCTGAAGACTGCTGTTCACAAACGCTCTCCATCCAACCTCACTGAGCTTGAGCTGTTTTGCAGAAAGAATGGGCAAGAATTTCAGTGTCTCCATGTGCAAAACTGATAGAGACATACCCCAAGAGACTTGCAGCTGGAACTGCAGCAAAAGGCGGCGCTACAAAGTATTAACGCAAGGGGGCCGAATAATATTGCACGCCCCACTTTTCAGTTTTTTATTTGTTAAAAAAGTTTGACACATCCAATAAATTTCATTCCACGTCACGATTGTGTCCCACTTGTTGATTCTTCTCAAAAAATTAAAATTTTATATCTTTATGTTTGAAGCCTGAAATGTGGCAAAAGGTTGTAAAGTTCAAGGGGGCTGAATACTTTCACAAGGCACTGTGCATACACATACAAGGATGCCTACAGTGCCAGCACAACGTTATGACATCACGCACGCTGTTGAGTTTAGATTTGTGAAAATTTATAAATTTGCACTGTTTGAGTGTTGTCGTTGTGTTAGAGTAAATGTCATGAATAAATTTGACATTAAACATAATCCAAGATGAAATATTCCATCATTTCATGGTGAAAATGAACGCTCCTACAAGCACCCTGCAGATGTTGGATGCTGTCTATCATGGTGCACTAAGATTCATAACTGGCTGTGATTATCGTACCCACCACTGCACCCTGTATTCACTGGTTAACTGGACATCATTAACTTCACGCAGACTCTCTCACTGGTACATTTTAATTTTTAAATCACTTCTTGGTCTGCTGCCTTCATACATCTCCTCCTACATGTCTCTGCGTGAGTGCAGCTACAGCGTGCGCTCTCAGGACATTATTACCTGCAGTGTTCCCTCAATGAGGACTGAACTAGGCAAAAGGGCCTTCTCCTACTCCGCTCCTGTTTCCTGGAATATCTTACAAAAAGATTTGAAGCTCTCGACCTTGACCTCTCTAAGTGTCTTTAAGAATCTGTTGGACTCCTGGCAGGGACCAATGCAGACATGTTCCTGTTTTTAGTTTTCTACATTCGCCTTAGAATCTAACTGTTTTTTGTTACCTTTTCCTTTTTCCTTTTAGCCATCCTATTTGTAAAAAAAAACAAAAAAAAACCTTGTATTATGACTTTTTATAATTGTTTATTGTTGTTGCTGTTGTCCTTTGTTGTCATCTTTCTTTGTTGAAATCAGGTCTCTCTTGTAAATGAGTCCTCAAGGCTCAATGGGATTTACCTGTCTAAATAAAGGTTGATTGATTTCAGCTCACTTTTTGGTATCAGGCCAAACTGACAAAGACCATGCAGAATAATGTAGTATTTTAATTCCACAGCAGAGAAAGCTATGTAGTCTCTGTAAATAGGTTTATGAAAATAAATAAATAAATAAAATCAGTATTGGTATCGGTTATCGGACAAATAATTTTTAATATATTGGTATATCGGATATCAGCCAAAAACCCATTATCGTGCATCCCTAAAATTGATGTATATTTTCAGTTCCATTTGTGTTATTCTAGAGCACTAGACCGCACAGGAACTCTTCTTTTGATAGAAAGCATTTGAGCTTACAACCCTGAATGTCAAGGTCTAACAATACAGATGATAAAATATACTTATCAAAAAATAGGTAAAACATTGTTTTGTTTTTTCATTTGTAAAGTGTACTCTGGTAGTTTAAATCATTTAGGTGGGGGTGGTTGTCAAGGTCTGTACAAAGTGGGCAGAGATGGACTACAACATAATGTGCCCAACCACAAATACAGTTTTGCAAGCAGTAACAAAAAGGCAGCAATTTTCTAAAATTGCTTTTGCTGCTCGCTCCCCAATTTCAATGAGACTGCAACTGCAAATTCACTTCTTTTTTTATTTCATTTTGAGTAACTATTACTTTAAGTTTTGGCTTTAGCCCGTCGGTGTTTGAGACAATATTGGCGTGCTCGAGCTTGAGGGTTTAAATCTAAGACCGGAGGTGGAAGTCCTCTTAACAGACATTTGTTTTTTTCTTTTCTTTTGACTGCTCCCTTCTTCAGGGGTCACCACAGCGAACTAACTTGCAGAAGACATAACCGGCATAAATCAAAAGTATTTTGTAAACAGTTTTCCCTTTGGTCAACTGATTTCAGTGGAAAAGCAGGGTTGGGATGGCACAAGTAGAACATTAGCAGTCCAACAGGAGGAAGGCAAGAAGACCTCCAGGGAGTCTTGTAAAAACCAGGGGACAGGCAGGCATTCCTCTTTACTCCTGAGACAGTTAATTGGGGTGGGGTTAATCCACATACCAGTGTCCTCTAGAGTCTCATAAGGTAATTTCAAGCTGAATCCTGTTTTCTCTCACCCCCACTGTAAAGAGCATTTACTTAACACTGCGTAGTTGTGTTGTTGTGCACATGGTTGTACCTACTCACACACACAGAGACTAACCCGCACCTTTTCACAGGCTCAACCACATTCTGGGCTGAAGGATAACGTGCCTGTTGCTCATTCATTAAAACCAGTAGTGCTCCGTTCTTAAATTCGACTTGCATCATGTGAGAGGGACTATTTTGTGGAAACATGCTCATAAAGTGATGTTGTGAGTGGGGTTAAAGACACAATTAAAGGGCCATTCTGCCCAAAATAAACTCCTGAGTGGATAATCTGCACAACTGACTCATTCAGGACAAACATTTAAAGCTGGCTCGCCATTCTAACCTCAAACACTCAGGAGGAATGTTTGTTCAGTCCTTTGTTGCTTATGATGGAACCTTAATCAATGGAAGCGGTCGGTAGGTGCGGGATATGCCAGACTGTTCCTGGTTGATTGTTAAAGCTCGTGTTTCACTGAATATGTCGAAGCTTCATCACCAAATCTGCTAAACAGCAAACAAAAGATAAAGACAACCTGTTTGGGCCTCATAGACAGAAAAAAAGGGTTTATCTGAAGTTCCGAGCCTTTAAAGGTCATCGACTGAAGTACAGACGGGCAGCACAGATTTAGCCAGTTACCGGTAAGTTAAATGTCATAAAATGTAAAGTGTCCTGAAAGAACTGTATATCACTGATACTGTGTTTGACTTAAACAAGCTTGTATTTAGAGTTAGACTTAAGTTCTCATAAAAATCCTTCAGTCAAACAGATTTAAGCATCTCCAAAGTTTACGTGTTAAAGCTAAACAGTTTAAATATTTCTCTCTAGTGTCCCAAGAAGAAAGGAGAAGTGTTTTTGTTCCTAAATAAATTATAACATTTTGTACAATTTTGTTTTCATATCTGTACTAATTTGAACTTTAAATTGCACGGAAAAATGTTTGGGGGAAAAAAACTTTTAATTATTTGCTTCTTTTTTGCTTAAAGAGAGAGTTCGGTCTTTTTAAATTGGGATATTGTGAAAAACGTACGAGTAATCATTATCTTACCTGTTGTAAAAAGCCCTTAGAATGACCTCAGCAAAAAAAATTGCTCCCTACTTCACAGATTTTCACTTTGCAGGGGTGTCTGGAACATAACCCCCACAATAAATGAGGGACTACTGTACAGTTAATTTGAAACAACTCTAATCTAAAAAATATATAGGATTTTATGTGTATGCTGTTTTACATTCCTTTTCCCTGCAGTCAGTTTTGATTACATCTTTCCATATACAGTATGTGATACTCCTGCCATGAGTTCCTCAGGCTGCTCTGGACGTGTGATGGCTAGCTGCGACTACTATTTGCACCAACGAATCCTAGTAAATATGTAAATAAGTGTGTAATGCAAAACTGAACATGATGTGAAAGTTTATAAAATAGTTTTTAAATGAAATTCTTCAAAAAAAATTAGAGTTGTTTTAAGATGCATCAACCCACTTTGGTCTTGGCTCACTTAGAGTAAATATTAGCTCGTCCAACCCATTACATTTAAACTCCGTTTCTCCAAACCAAGGACGTACAAAGAGCTATCTGCCACAGGTAAGATATTAATAGTTCATAACATTTCCACAGATCTCCACTTTAAAAGAGCTGAACTATCACTTTAAGCTCCTCACCTTAAGAATCATCTCTGCGCGGGTCATGCCTTTCACCACTATCTTGGTGTAGCTGGCAGGTGCCTTCCGGAGCACCTGAGAGCCGATGGAGGGCAGATCCAACAGGACAGTCTTCAGGGAGTGAGCATCAAGGAGGAGCTGGCAGTGGACGAGTTCGCACAAAAAAGAAAGGGACATATAAAAGCAGCAACTCTTCCATAACAGTGCACAAATTAAAGCAAACTGAGCTTACCTGTTCAGCTCCCACCATACTGATTGGCTTACATCTAAATAAGTGGTTGATAAATTTGGGAATGAAAGAACTAAAAAAGAAAAGAAAAGGACAAATATATTAGAATTAAAAGCCTTTAAATGTGGTTCAAACAGAGATTTATAAATGTCTGTTTTTGGAATGTACTTTGTGAACTTGATGCAGAACTGTGTGAAGTATTTGCGCGTGGAGGCCAGGTTGTCCCTGATGACGGGCACATTTTGTTTAATGTGCATGATAATTGAAGTCACATAAGGACTCTGGTCACCCACATGCTCCACACTCTGCCACGGCATCTACCAGGAGAGAGATAAAGGTCTCAGAAGGCTCGAGCACCAGATACTGTTCAACTAATCACACAATAAAACAGACATCTTTTTAATGGTGGGAGGAATTAACCATAAAAACATAAAAAATGCAAAATTGTAACATTCTTATATTAGAGTTACAGGGAAAATTTGTTAACATATAGATATATTTGATTTAATGCTGTTAAATGAGCTGAATGTTTTTCAACCTTGCTCATAGCCGTTAGAGCGGGATCGCAGGCGGCATCAAGATCCTGAACCAGCAGCTGGATGCTGTTGGAGATCACACTGTGGAAAACGTAAAAAAAGAAAAGCATCAAAATATGTCACAACAAAGAAGGCGAGGCTCAATTTAAAAGAGGAAAAGTGCTTGACTGCAGCTGTCACTTACGTGCTGAACGTATCCATCTCCCCAGTCAAATTTATTCTCTCCACCAATGTTTTATCTACTTTTTCCTTTAGCTTCTCCTCTAACTGGAACATATATAAACAAGGACTTAAGTGCACACATAAACACATAAAAAATGTTGGCTCCGAGATCGCATCTGTAAAAAAAACCTTGTTCATTTTGTGTTTTACAATACTGACAAAACGGCTGTATAAGTACAGCACTAAACAGAACCTTTTAGGTTTTACTGTAGTCATAACTGTCAGTGAGAGTTCCTTAAACACTCGTCAAACATGGCCGCCGCCATAACAAACGTGTTGCAAGTTTCATTGCATATATATCCATAACAAATACAAATTCAAGCATTTTAAAACATGTTGAGTGGTCCGTGCCTGCTGTGTGGTGGCCAGGCAGTATTCTGCAGTGCTGAGAATGCTACAGATCAGACAGAGCTCATCTACAGTGAACTTGGTCGCCTCACAGCCTTCTTTTTCCTTCAGCAGGCTGCTGATGGTGAGACCCCCACTGTTACTGTTGGACCTGGACAAAATCACAGAGAGAAAAGAGGCAGGGAAGACAAATGACGACTGTGAGCGACTGAATGTTCACCATGTGCATGTGTGAGTTATCTCCAGATACTTCAATTTCCTGCCTCAGACCAAAAACATGCATGTTAGACTGATTGGTAACTCTAAATTGTCCCTAGGTGTGAGTGAGAGAGTGAATGATTGTTTGTCTCTATGTGGCCCTGTGATGGACTTTACAGAACTGTCCAGGTGTCCCCTGCCTCGTGCTCAGTGATAGCTGATATGGGTGCCAGTGACCCCCACAACTCAAAAAGGAAGAAGCAGGTAAAAAGGGAGGATGGATGGATGGATGTATGGTAATATTGATAAAAGTCAAACAAAGTTGACACACTGTGCAGCCAACCTTAAATTCAAAACATCAATTTCAAAATTCTGAATATAATAATGAATAAATAATTATGATTAAACAATAATGAATAAAACGTTTAGTTGATGTTTTAGTAAATTTTATCTGCAATTAGGCTTGTGTTTTCTCAACAAAAACAAAAAACAAACAAAAAAAAAAAACACATTTGACTTCACATCCTTTATACCGTGTGTCCAAAAGAGTTCTCTATGCCTTTGACTTACTCTAAAAAATATAGGTACAAATCCTTAAAATGTGACTGTTCTTGACTATAGCTGCTGTGATCTTCTTTATCAAGCTTAAAGGAAATCGTTCTTGTGCGAGACAGCTTTAGAAAGTACAAATAAAGGATGCTATTTTTTAGTAACTCAGACACAATAGGCATAACTGAAAACAGATGCAAAAATGGGAGCCAAAGCGGCCCCACTGGCGACATCATATTAATAAACGTCATAACAGAGACGTGGGTAAAACCACAACATAGTTCAAGCTCCTTTTGAGGGCCCCTTTCAAAACCTCATGAGACTAATTCACAGCACACCACAACGGCCGGGTGTCTGCAAGTGTCTGCGAGTGTTCAGCAGATCTAATGTGTCTGAGTGCATCTGATAGTGTTTGTATTCAGCTCAGAAAATCACTAAAACGAGTGGGAACACAAGTGTGTAATTAGCATGCATGAGTATCTGAACGTGCCTATATGTGTGTGTGTGTGTGTGTGTGTGTGCGCGTGAGAATCCACCACAGTCAGTGAGGATTTCTGATGTGGCCAATGAGCCAGAGATGTTTTTTTCTGGTAGCATATTAGGCTTTGCCACAACATAACCAGCTCCAGATAGCTCCCCCAAACAGAGCGCAGCTATCGGTTCAAGGTTTAACTCTCAAACAACTCAACAGCACACGAAAACAGTGAGAAATGTGAGCGTGGCAGGTGTGTCTGTGAAAAGTTGATTTCTAACAAATTTTTGTTCATTACAGGTGAGGTAAATGTAACCATTCCCGTATAAATTAGTTGAAACAATATAAATGCAAACAATTGCAAACACACAAAGTTTGTTTTCTCAGTCATCCAGGTATATAACAACAAAAAAGGTTGAATCATGTCATCTGGACTTCGTTTTTTTGTTAAAAAAGAAACGTTTCGCCCCTCATCCAAGAGGCTTCGTCAGTCTGAGGCCTAGCCATCTGGTATTACCCAGCAGCCACCCTGACTCTTGTGTTTCAAGCCTGCCTCAGTTACCCCTGAAGTCTGGCCTTTCATTAGTGATGAGGGGCGAAACGTTTCTTTTTTAACAAAAAAACGAAGTCCAGATGACATGATTCAACCTTTTTTGTTGTTATATACCTGGATGACTGAGAAAACAAACTTTGTGTTTTTGAAACCATTAGTGAAAAGGCCAGACTTCAGGGGTAACTGAGGCAGGCTTGAAACACAAGAGTCAGGGTGGCTGCTGGGTAATACCAGATGGCTAGGCCTCAGACTGACGAAGCCTCTTGGATGAGGGGCGAAACGTTTCTTTTTTAACAAAAAAAACGAAGTCCAGATGACATAATTGCAAACACAATTTTTAATGAAGTGTAAAATTAGTTAAAATTATTTTTCCTGAAAAAATGCATTTTATGTATTTCATTTATTTATTTTTACCGCCAGAACCAACTTGGTTTACTAGCTGCTGAGTCTGCATGTGTTCTTTTTTGACCAATATGTCAATCATGGGGCAGCACAGTGGCACAACTGGTAGAGCTGCTGCCTCTCAGCGAGCAGGTTATCCAGGTTCAAATCCCGGTCTGGGGAATTTCTGGGTGGAGTTTGGATGTTCTCTTCGTGCAAGCATGAGTTTTCTCCAGGTACTCAGGTTTCCTCCCACAAACCAGAAACATACATGTTAGACTGATTGGTAACTCTAAATTGTCCCTAGGTGTGAGTGAGAGAGTGAATGGTTGTCTCGTTTGTCTCTATGTGTCCCTGTGATGGACTTGCGACCTGTCCAGGGTGTACCTTGCCCCCCGCATAGTGATTGCTGGACATGGGCACCAGTGACCCCCCGTGACCCAAAATGGAAGAAGCGGGTATAAGACAGTGGATGGATGGAACTTCAGTTCTTGTTGCAAGGTGTTCCAGGAGCTGAGTAGGAAAAAAGTCTTTTTGCCAAGTTCAGTCTGCCCTGAGGGATTGCTGCAGGTAATGATGGCCTGAGTGCGCACGCTGTAACTGCACTGACAACGTGACAACTGGGAGGAGATATAAGAAGGTAGCAGACCAAGGAGTAACTTAAAGATGAAAATAAACCAGTGTGAGAGTCTATGTGTAGATAATGACCAAGTGACCAATGAATACAGGGTGCAATGATGGGTATGGTAGTTACAACCAATTATGAATCTTGAGCGCCATGGTAGACAGCATCCAACATCTGCAAGGAGCTGGCAGGGAATACCTATTGACAAATCCTAAATTGCTGTGCATGACCTGCTACCTGAGATCATCCATGCATACAAGAGTTATATGAATTTTGTTTCAGCTTCTAGGAATTATTATTTGTAGAAAAATGTTGCATTGGGATTTTTTTTCCCCCATATTGTAGCTTAGTGTGACCCTCATACCAAAGTACAAACTGAACCATGACTTAGGTTAACCATTACGACCAATCTCTAAACTCTGTATTTTAGCTAAGGTTGTAGAAAAACTGATAAACTCTCAAATCAAAAAGTATTTGGACTCAATTAACATCTTACAATGTGGTTTCAGGAAACAACACAGCACAATAACTGCTTTGTTGAAGGTTTTTAATGACGTTGTTGAAGCACTGGATGCTAAGGATTATTGTGCTGCACTTTTCTTAGACCTGTCTAAAGCTTTTGACACTGTGGGTCATAACATCTTGTGTCATAAGCTCTCAGAAATTTGTTTCTCACATCATACCATTGGTTGGTTCTTTAACGATCTCTCAGATCGGAGGCAATGTGTTCAACATAATGGTATTTCCTCCAGTTATTTAACAGTCAACAATGGTGTACCACAAAGCTCTGTCTTAGAACCCACCCTCTTCACAGTCTACATAGGCAATGTAGATCTGATCATCCCTGATGCATCCTTATATTTCTATACTGACAATAGTTGTTTATTGTCGAGCTAAAACAGTTGCTAAGGTTTTCCAGCTTTTGCAATCTACTTTTGACTTCATCCAGTCATATTTGTTCTGTCTCAAACTTGTACTAAATGCCGATAAAACCAAAGGAAGTCGGTCCCAGCAGTTCTTCCTTTGATTTTATCCTTGAACAGTGTCCCTATTGAGCTTGTTGATTCTTACAAATATTTGGGTATCTTGGTTGAGTCGCATGACTCTTTTCAGCTCCACGTGGAAAACCTAGTAAGGAAACTGAAAGTTAAACTGGGTTTCTTTGTCAGAAATAGATCCTGTCTAACTCTGAATGCTAGGAAACACCTTGTAACTGTGACTTTCCTTCCCTCCAGTGGGTACGGTGACATTATTTACATGAACTCCCCCACAAGCACCCTGCAGTTATTGGATGCCGTGTATCATTGTGCACTAAGATTCATAACTGGCTGTAACTACCGTACCCATCACTGCACCCTGTATTCACTGGTTAACTGGTCATCATTAACTTCACACAGACTCTCTCACTGTTACATTTTCATCTTTAAATCACTTCTTGGTCTGTTGCCTTCTTACATCTCCTCCTACATGTCTCTGCGTGAGTGCAGCTACAGTGTGCTCTCTCAGGACATTATTACATGCAGTGTTCCCTCAGTGCGGACTGAACTTAGCAAAAGGGCCTTCTCCTACTCTGCTCCTGTTTCCTGGAATATCTTGCAGAAAGATATGAAGCTCTTGACCTTGACCTCTTTAAGTGGCTTCAAACATCTGAAGTTCCAGGCAAGAACCAGTGCAGACATGTTCCTGTTTTTAGTTTACTACAATGCCCTACATTCTAGCTGTTTTTTTTTTGTTTACATTTTGTTATAAATACCATTTTATTTTCACTTGTAAAAAAAAAATAAAATCTCAATTTGTATGCATCCTTTTATGATCGTCTGTTATTGTCTTTGTTGTCCATTGTTGTCATCACTTTGTTAGAATCAAGTCTCTCTTGTAAATGAGTCCCCTAGGCTCAATGGGATTAACCTGTCTAAATAAAGGTTGAATGAATTACACACTTGGTAGTCAGAGTAATTTAAATTAGTAGAATTCAGAAGGAATCCTCATTGGAGAATGAAGTTAACAGCTATTTCAAAAGGGTCTATCTAAGAGCTAATTCAGAACACGGTAAGTCTAAAATATTTTATAACAAATTTTGCCTCAGTTCTTTAGGTATCACCATTAAAGGACAGACATTTAAAAACAGCAGTACGGAGATGCAGGCTTTTAATAATTTCTGGCATAAACATGCGAAGTGACAAAACCTCTAACTCTAACCCTGGTTGAAGAATGCAGTTTAAGATGTGCAGGTTCCTTTATCTGTTGCACTGCATACACTGTGGCCTCGTCTCTGCTTCTGCCCTACAAAAATGAATACAAGTTTGAGTAACTTTAACTAAACTTTCTTAATAGTTTAGGAACATTTGTTGCTAGCATGTCCATAAAGAATTCACTGGCACTGCATTAGTACCCAGTAGCAAGGAGGTTAGCCATCGTGCTCTCCAGTTTCCTCAGGGTTTCAGTTTTGGCTAAATTGAAATACTCTTCATTGCAATTCTTTTCTGAGTAGTTTAGATTTGGAGTCAAGATCAAACTGTTGAACCAAACACCATTTTGGCTATGTCTGAATTTAAGATTTATAACCACAGTTTAAAACGATCAATTAGCTTGGTATTTACCTTGTCACAAGCCGAAAGCAAAGTTTCTATCGAGTACCATTAGAGTGATCCCGAGTACTACTAGTATTATTTGTACATCACCACTTGTGTTTGCTGCGATTATGAGGTTGTAGTTGGTAAATGTGTGTTATTAGAATAAAATGCAAGCTAAACACACACTCATGCCACCAAGCACACAGCTCCATCACCAAAAAGTACATATTTGTAAAAAATTCATAACCGAACCAGTCTTACTTAGGCAGGTTGCCAGAGAGGATCTTCCAAGCGTATTCTCTGAGGAACTTCTGGAAGATGGTTGTGAGGGCGATCATTGGTTCACCGGTGCTCAGTTGGGAGCACTGGACCATACACTTCTTGTAATAAACAAAAAGGTCAGCACAGCTGGGCAGCACTGCTCCACCTTCCTCTGTGCCTGCCTTGGGTGGGCCTTGTGCTCGAAAATCAGCCACAAACCGGTCGATCAGTTCACCCAAGTTCCTACACAGATCCAAGAAATACACAGTCAAACCCACACAGGGTTAAAAACACATGCACACATATACACGAGATGCTGAATTAGGGTCTCATTAAATAAAACTGGTGGACTATAAAAAAAGTTAAAGACATATGATTAGTCCCCAACCACAGAAAATACATAACAAGCATAAAGGCAAACAGCCAAATGAATAAGAAGATATTTGTTGTGCCAAATCCTCTACAGCATACAGATTCGCAGCCAGTTGTTGTGGCCTATATTTTACTGAATCAAGCAAATAAAGCCAAGGACAAAACAAGCAGGCCACTGTTCTCTTCAGCTATGTCCCACTGGGGACACGCCGATTTGGCCTCTGTCTTTGGACCGAAGTAAAATGAGGTTGTAGCTGCTGTATGGGTCAGTCCTGTCCCCTCGGACAGACAAAAAGCATTTAATGCTCCAAAGAGCTGCAGGCAAACACAGCAGTCCCAGAACTGTGTTCAGTTTGAGGAAACGGTGCCAGCACTGAGGTAGGAGAGTGACTCTCAGAGCACTGAAGCATGGTGGTAACAATTAGAAGAAGGGGCAGTAAAAGAAGAAACAGGAGAAAAATAATAAGAACTCTTAAAAAAAACAGAATGACAGATAGAAATAAATAAATAAAAGAGACTGAAACATAAATTAAGACAAAGAGAGACTGGTGAAAGGCTACCAGAAAAAAAAAGGAGGTGGGAAAGAAAATAGGCAGATCTGCTGTGACAGCATTTATTCAACCTCACTCCCTCTTTCTTTCAGCCTCTGTGGTAGTGCAGCTAATGGGAAACATTTCTGCCACAGTGGAGACCGAAGCATGAACAGGAGGAACAAGCGCTGGAAAGACGGGAGGTGAAGCAGCATGAAGAGAGGAGTGGTGTGGAGAAACTGATTGATGAAAAGGAGGTGAAAAGGCGTTCGTGTGCCAGCTTTACGTACAACCTGCTCCTAAATCTGAGCTTGTGCACCAAGATTAAGATTTTTAATTCTCCTAAACTTTAGCAACGTCAATGAATGCGATGCTCACTTGTCTTGGGATTCTATGTAGACGTATAGGTGAGGTTCAAAACACTTGGAGATGATGCCGTGGAACGGGTTGTCAGGAGCTTTAGGCTTCCTTGGCTGAAAGGATGAAGCAGAACTGATTTACAGTAAAATAACGATAATACTATAATAATAATACTGTAATACTATAAATAAGAGTTTAAGAAACTTTTATGTAACATTTAAACACATTATCTCATGTCAACTCACCTTAGCAAGATCTTCATCCTTTTCTGCTCCTGTATCCTCCCCTGGTTCATCTTCTAAAAAAGGGTTAGTTGAGTCTAGTGGGCTCTCTGGCCTCTTCGGCTGCTAAATGAAACAAACAACATAATTTAAGTATTACACTCTGTTGCTCTGTTATTTTAATGTCAATCAGATCTTCCATTGTGCATACAAAATTTAAAGGTAATCCTTTGTTGAAAACATTTTGTAAGCTGCACTTTAAAAGAGTCTTGTGTGCCTTTATTTTTATTTTACTTTTCTTACTCTGGGCGCGTCCGTCAAGGTGCATCCTGTGAAGCGTTTGGCCAGTAAACCCTCAAAATTTGTGGTCCTCTGAATGGCAAACAGGAGCAGTTTCACCTCAATCTCCTTTGCTCGTGTTCGCATCACCTTGGCCAGCTCCACCCTTAGTGACACAAACAAATATTAACAGAGGCTGCTTCATTCAGACGTGCTGGGGAAGGAGACAGAACGGACCACCGTGCAGACGCAATATTTGTTATTCAAGCAATTTCAGGCAGCACATTAGACAAGACAGACTATAATTCTCACCAAGCTTGAACAGGTTGTGTAGAGGAAGATGAAAAGAACTAAAAATATAATGTTTGTAAGAATTTAAGCTTACTGAGCAGTAAGTGTTAACCTCTTGAAGGTTAGTGCACTTAACTTGACAACTTGATCTTCAGAGGCAACATAAATAGGGATGCACAATATTATCGGCATGGTATCGGCTGACATAGTGATAGTTAAATATCGGACATTGGCCATTCCATCAAAGTAACTCACAGATATAAAAGGCACTTTTTCTTTTTTTTTTTTATATATATATATGTTACATATTTATATAGTATTCCATCATTTTCAGCCCACTTTTTGGCATCTGCATTGGCAGCAGGCCAAATTGACAAAGACCATGCAGAATAATGTAGTACAGTAGTCCCTCGCTACTTTGCGGTTCGTTTATCCTGGACTTAGTCTATCGCGGTTTTTCAAAATAAGATTGGACATGACACAATTGGCTGATTGATGGATGAGCAGCACAATCGGCATGGGATTTTTATTTAAAATAAATTATTTTGAATTATTTAGCACCTCCTGAAGCTTTGTGCAGCCCATACTGCAGGATAAACTTCCTGCTGCAGCGTGCAGAGAGGAGAAGTGAGAGTGGGCCAAGAGCGTTTGCAGGTGGCAAAGAGCAGACGAGGCAGGGAGCTGAAATCATGACATTCTGTGCTCTTTAAGAGCATTTAGAGTTTAGAAAATCGTTTAGAATATTGCAAGAATGTGGGAAGGGTTTAAAACGCCTTAATATACATATCCCGATGCATGCTCAATAATCCTAATTTTATTTATTTATTTATTTATTTATTTATTTATTTATATATAAAATTTATATAATTTATAATATCATATCAACACACAACACAAGGAGGAGGGGGCGTGGCAAAGAGACCATCTTAGCACCAACATAACTGGTTTGTTCCACTTTGGAGTAAGCTGTTGGGGGAAGAATCAGTTTTGTGTTTTGTGTTTCCTTGACTGATGAAGCTTTCTGGATGGAAGGCGAAACATTTCAGCACAACAAAAAAAAAAAGAAACTGTCCAGATGACCTGACTGAAAAATGTTGGATTGTAATCTTGGATTATTGCGCATGGACTTTGTTGAGTTCTGTTAGTTTTAGCTTTAGATTTTGTTTAACTAATTTCAGCTTTTAGCTTTTGTTAATTTAAGAATTTGTTATTTAACAATAACCCAGTCTTATTTCATTTGAGCACTCAGCATTTGTGCTGTATTTTGTTGAAAAACATATTTTTTTTCTCTAACTAATGACTTCATCTTCATTTGACCCTGATTTAAAGAGAAAACAGTGAGGTGCTCCAAACTGCCTTCAATGATTTTTGTTACAAGTAGTCTTACATTTTGCATGCAGGTCTTTTGCAAATAAAATAAAAACAAAATGTCCGATGTTTTATTTAAATTTAAAACGGTGATGCTTATTTGATTCAACCGTGCTGATCAACACTGATTTTAAGTGTTTGGGTCGTCACAGAACCGAGCAGGCCACGGTACAGAAGCTGTTGATGTTCTTTGTCTTGCCTCTGATTTCAGAATGTCAGCATTTGGTCTGAAAGCACACAGTGTGGTTACATTACACCCATTTTGTTTGATTTGGTGAGAACCAGCACTGGTGGCATAATGAAGGGTTCTTCTGATGGTGTGATGACGAAGTAAAAGGAGCTTCGGTTACAGCCAACGGCAGCACACGGAGCCCAAAGCCACTGGGTTCTTTCATGAGGTTGAGGAAAAAGGAGACGTATCAACAGTGGGGCAGTGCCTATGTGGGCCACCTACTCCAACAGCTTAGAAAGTTGTACCAGTTCCCAGAGTCAACTCAGGCTCACAGAAACAATGGAATTTACTTCAGCTCACTGACCATGGAAATCAGAGGTACTGTGTTTTTTGATAGGTGTTCTGTGTTTTTACTTTGTGATGTGGCAGAACTCCACAGCAATCCGCTCTGTCATGCACCACTCTTCAGGAAACATGCGCCCATATTTGTCTTCGTAGTCTACCAGCTGCCGTTTGATCCAAGCATAACGGCGATCGATCTTATCCAGCCAAGCTACCTGAAAAACAAAAGGAACACAATGTTTCTTTTAACAGTATCACACATTTGAATCAGGGTACTCAAGATAAAACTATGAAAACCAGCCACAGGGGAGCACAAGCCAGTGTATCTCTTGTGCCGGTTCCAAGTCTTCAGGACCTCCACAGCTCTCGCCTCAGAAGTAAAGTCCTCTGCTGGGTGGGAGATCTTGACCACCCGCTACACTGCTTCTTCAACCTGCTGCCATTAGGGCGGAGACTGCGTAGCCTCAGTTCTAGGACCAGCAGACTGTGGAACAGCTCCGTCCATCAGGCCGTGAGGATGCTGAACTCTCTGCCTGCCCCCCCTCAGCCCCCTCTCCCACTTCTGCCACCCTGCACACACTAACTCAGCTTCCTGACACCCCCCCCTCACCCCCCCCCCTTCAAAACTGCTCTGGGACATTTATTTAGTTTTATGAATAGTTCATGAATCGGTCACTTTAACAGCCTACAAGCTCACTCTACTGTTTATTGCATTATATTTTGCACTACTGTTATGATCAACTCGTCCTGTTTATTCTGGTAATTCTGGTATTGTCATTTCCACATAATCACCTCATCAGTACATAACTGTGACTCTATATAGAACCGGTATGCACACCTTCACTTTACTAAGTTTCTCAGGTTTATACTTTATATTGCACTATTGTTTACTCTGGCCTTGCACATCCATTATCTACCTTGTTTACTCTGGCCTTGCACATCCATTATCTACCTCTCATCATGTTATTGTCTTCAGTCAGCGTCCCTTTGTCTCCTGTTAGTCACTATTGAGCACGTTGCATCAGAGGTCCTGCTGCTGTTCACTTTTATATTTTTTTATATTTTTTTATATAACTAGTTGTGTTAGTTTATTTTTGCTAATGTTGTTGTTTGCTGCAATTTGAGTAGGGAGTGTAACGCAATTTCAATTTCTATGTATGTCCTGTACATATGCAGAATTGACAATAAAAATCAATCAATCAATCAAGTAGAAGGTGAGTTGTGTCAGGAAAGGTATCAGATGTAAAACATTTTTGTACAGGAGAAAGACAAAGAGGAGATACATGAATGCAGTTAGAGAGGACATGGAGGTAGTTGGAGTGAGGACAGAGTGAGATGGAGGAGGATGACTCGCTGTGGAGACCCATGAAAAGGGAAAAATTGAAAGAAGAAGATAAACTATGATCCTGTCATGTGTAGGATGTGAAATTAGACAAAAATGTTCTACTTCTGCTTGAACATTTCTTACATCTTGATTTTCCTGGAAAAGAACCAAATACTCAGACAGGTGCTGCCTGATGAACTTTTTGATGATCTCTTGTTTGATGCGTGGGTCCAGCACATTTGACACCAGGCAGGCATCTCTCAGCACGTTGCTGGGTCCACCTGGTCTCTGTATAAACATGTGGAAACATAAACGGTTTTGTTGTTTTGTGTTTTTTTTCCAGACGATTTTTTTTTTTAATAAGTCAAAATTAAGCAATTTATGTAACATAGTTACCTTAGAGCCTTGAGAAGGAAAAGCCTCTTCAAAATCTGCCAGAATCTGAGTGCCCAGCTCACTCTGTGCTGCCTTCACTCTACCAGAAACCACAACAATGAAAATAATCAGCCGATTCTTCTTTTAGACAATTTTAATGTGGAAGTTGTTTTTGGTTTGAAATATAAAATAAAGGGACACTGAGTTCATCTGCCACAACAAAATATTAATAGCCATTCCAATCAATGATGAGTACAGGACAGCACCCAAAGGAATGGTAATTAAAAAAATAACACACACACAAACATAAGAAATGCATTGGTCACATTTTGAAATTGATTTCTGTGGAAACGTTATGAACAATTATTTTAATTTTCAAGGATTCAAGGTTCTTTATATCATGTGGTACATGAGGTGGAATGAAATTGTGTACACAAGAGTCCCAGTTACCTCCAACAACATAAACTTACATAAACTGTAAAAGAAACAGTAATAAGGATCCAGGATGTAACTAAGAAATATGCTAAACTAAGAATAAAATTAAAAGAAACAATATGTCGAACAGCAGCAGGAACATGAGTCTGTGTGAGCAGATGAATATGAATGAACACTCATGCAGCATGAAATAATCAGCAGCATGAAATAATCAGCAGCACATATCAGTCAAAGTGGCATTACAGTATTTTTTTTTTACAGTGATTATCCTGGTTAAAGATTCATGAGTCTAACAGCCTCAGGGTAGAAGCTGTTCCTCAGTCTAGTGGTTCTACACTTAATGCTCCTTGACCTCCTGCCTGAGGGAAGCAGGGCAAAAAGTGTGTGTGCTGGGTGAGTGAGGTCCTTCATGATGCAGGTGGCCCTCTTCCTTCATCTAGAGATGTAAATGTCTGTGGTGGTGGGGTGACTGACTCCGACAGACTTCTGTGCAGCCTTCACCACTCTCTGCAAAGCTTTTCTTTCACAATTTTGAATGGCTAGTGGGAGCAGGGCCAAAGTAGATTTCTGTTGTCGTAAAGCCTTAAAGTATTGTATGCAAATGTTATTTTTTAAATCCTAGCACAGATGTAAGTTTCAAATTATACTACGTTTCTGGCAGAAATATTATAATATTCTTAATGGAAATGCTCCAGACGGCATCAGATGTACAGCTAGCTGCTGCCACCGCTGTTGCACCGTACCACAAAACTCAATGTAATCAAATGCAGAATGTGAAACTGAAGTTAATGTAAGGATTTATATAAAAGTATCCAAATAAATTCCTATAAAACATTTGAGACTTAAACTGTTTCAAGACAGAATCACTATACTTTGATCTTGCCTCTATCAGACTAGCCGTTAACTCATCCATCTGGTCAGAAAAAAGTATATTTCTCCAAACTCAGTATGTTTAAAGACACTACAACACTGTTCATAACATTTCCAAAAAATACTAACTAAAACCAATAGAACTGCCTTTAAACACTTTCTGGTCATATTGCCATCCTTTATGTGTGTGTGGCTACAAAGTCTCAACCACACTCTACAGCTGACAGTGATAAATCGGTGTCTGGATAAATAATAACAGCAAATATGAAACTTGGTGAATTAAAGTCATTAAATTCTCCTGTTTCACGTATGAGTGCTGCCACTGATGCATGAAGAGGCATAGCTTGGTTAAAGGGCAAAAACCTTATTAGAAACAAAGTTAAACTTGCTCAAACTCCATTTCGTTGTGATAAAGGACTATTGTGACGAAAGCTAAATTGAGCTGAAATTAAATGATCAAATGGAAACTGTCACAAAGTTCTAATGTGCTGAAAACACTTGAGACATTTTATTCCTTTAAACTGTGATTTTCTGTTGTACGTGGCTAAAATGTGACCAGAAGTCACATGTGAAATATTTCCATCTGGCCATCGACATCTATACATAATTAAATTTAAAAAAAATTATAAATACATCAATAAAAACATATTCATAATGAATCATGATGAAACTTTTGTTGTCGTAGTTGAATCAGATTGAGAAAATTATACAACTTAAACAATGTTTGATGTGCTGAGACAGAATTGTTGCTTTTTGACTAAATTATACTAAAAACTTGGCATCGCTGAAGGAAAAACAAGAAAGGGCCCTAAAATGGTTTTCAACAATTTGCCTGAAATATATTTTTTAAACAAAGTATATAAACACCAATGAATCAGCACTAAATGTTTTATCATACTCTGTCAAAAAAGCAAAACAGAGATAACTTTTCTCTGACTGTATTGGCTAAACTAAAAAATTATTATTATTTTTTTAATATCACTTTTTATTACTCCTTCTGAGGTTTAGACAATAACTCAAACTCTAAAGTTTATCATAAAGATTTCTTGAGTGTAACTTACCGGTATACATAATTACCTTTTGTATTAAGAAAGTTAGCCTTTATATATTTGTCTCTTTCATCTTTGCTGTTAATTTGCATCTTTATGCACACTGTACAGAGGTGAAGTCATAAAAACAACCAGCTGTATGAGTTAATGAGCAGGTTTACACTGAGAGACAGGTCATTTACCTCGGAGACTTTAAACATTTATTTTATTTAGAACTCAGTTGTTGCATCAGGCTTTAAAAACTGACACTCGGAAAATAAACATTAATTTGTACTTTGACTAATCCACACAATATGATCAAACACCCTTCAATATTCTTTAAATACTGTTCTTTCTTTTAAATTAAAAATAACTTCTCAATAATTAGGGACATCAAGGCAAGACTTTAAATACCAAAATTGAAAACAAAGGAAATAATCTATTTGCCTAAAGGACTCGTGCAAAAGCAAAAAATTGTTTTTTAACTATAGAGTTAGAGTTAAAAAGTTATAATGTGTTTAGCCCATGTTGTCAGAATACTTTATATTAACTTAACTATTAACTTTTAAACCACATTTCAAAAACTTGATAAAGAAACTGAAATTAAAACTGGGTTTCTTTTTCAGAAATAGATCTTGCCTAAACCTAAATGCTAGAAAACACCTTGTAGCCGCTACTTTCCAGCCGGCCATCGACTGTGGTGACATTATTTACATGAATGCCTCTGCCAGCTGCTTGCAGATGTTGGATGCTGTCTACCATGGAGCACTAAGATTCAGAACTGGTTATACAGTAACTACCATACCCATCACTCCATACTCCTTGGCCAGTTGGTCATCATTATCTACACGTGGAGGGAGTGGTGGCGCAGAGGTTAGAGAGGTGGGCTTGTGATCCGAAGATCGCCGGTTCACGCCCCGGCCCCGACAACATCAAAATTGTGGGTGGGGTAGGTGAAACACCCACACTTGCCCCCACCCTCATTCGCCCCACTCTGGGCCCATGAGCAAGGCCCTTAACCCCCACCATGTGCTCCCTAAACAGGTCTCTCTTGAAAATGAGTTCTCGTGGCTCAATGAGACTAACCTGGATAAATAAAGGCTAAATGAAAAAAAAAAAATTATCTACACGTAGTCTCTCACACTGGATCATTTTCATCTATAAATCCCTCCTAGGTCTGCTACCTTATTATCTCATCCCATGTGTCATGCCGTCAGTGCAGTTACAACATGCGCTCTCAGGACATCATTACCTGCAGCGTTCCCTCATTGTGGACAAAAGGCAAAAAGGCCTTTTCCTACTCAGCTCCTGCAACCTGTAATACCTTGCAACAAGAACTAAAGTTGTTCACCTTGATTTCTTTAAGGGGTTTCAAACATTTGATAATGTCAATAGAAAAATCAAAGCAAATATGTTCCTGTTTTTAGTATTTCACTTTGTTTTACAGCACCCTGATTTATTGTTTTGTACACTAGTCTTATTTTAACTGCATTTTTACTGTGGTCTACTGTTATTACTGTTATTGTTGTCTGTATTTTATGTTCTTTCTGGAACAGGTCCCTTTTGTAAATGAGTCCCTGTGGCTCAATGAGGCTAGCCTGTATAAATAAAGGTTGAATGAATGGAAAAAAAACTGCATGTGAGCCCAGACTCACACCTCCACTTTTACATGCACCCCTCCCCCCATCATGAGAGTCACTTAAGACACACAGCTGTTATTTGGTATGAACCTTATCTGCCACACCTTGGTCAGAATAAAACAGAAGGCCTTTCTTTTAGGTTTTTACAGACAAACACTTTGAAACTGAACTTCAAGCAGAGCGAAGTGTCCCAGACTGATTTTTGTTTTTGGAAAATATTATTACAAATGGAAACGGTATAAAATGACTGTGTGCCTTTTGTGTAGATGAAAAAAGTCTTGTGTTTAAACAAAACGAGACAAAACACAGGCAGGAGTGACTTGAGAGATTTAGCATCGCCAAATTAGCTAATAACAAAAAGTTCATGGACTAACAGACTGGTTGCAAATATGAAATAGTCTTGAGTGCAGACTGCAATTAAAACATCTTGTAGTGACAGAAGCAGTTGTTAACTCTGAGATACTAACCCACCCTCTAACAAGTGTGTCCCTGCCCATGTAAGATGGAATAAATGTTGGAATAATGAGGGTCTGCTCAGAGGGTTTCCTTCCTGCGTTTTCCTGCCACAGTTCTTGCAAGTGTGTTTATCTACATAAACAGGATGTAATACACAAAAAACCTCAGCAAATAATGGACCTGCTTTGCAACAGTTTGGAAGAAGGAACATTTCAGCAAAAAGGAGGGAACAGGGCAGCTGGAATTAGTTACGACTATTGTGAGTTTTTCTGATCACCAAATGTCCAAGTTTGTGTGTGTGTGTGTGTGTGTGAACCAGTTACCTCTCTGAAAGCTGTCTGATCTGTGATATGCCCATATACTTGTGGAAATGTTCGAGCACATTCACCACCCCCTGCAGTAAGTTGGCCACCTCGCCATACTGCCTCTTTCTGGTCATGGCTCTATAACCAAAAAATGTGTGTATTAATGTTTTAGTTTATCATAAAGGTCTGGGTTTACATTTTGTAAGGAGATACTTGTAAAGTAGTTAAGTGGCCCACACATCTCAGATATTATACTGGTCCAAACTGTTTAAACTACAATACAAAATGTAGAAAAAAATACAGATTTGAAAACATGAAGATGCTTGTAGCCACTTGAAGGAACAACGTTGACAATTTAGTTAGTTACATTAAAATAAGAAGAAACTACCTACAGCTAGGCCTGTCACAATAAACAATAAATCAATTAATCGAATGATAAATGAAAATTATTGACTTCATTTTCATTTATCGGTTTAATTGTTTCTTCGTGTCTCTCTTTCTACTGAAGACATTGGATGACAAAAGGCTCAACTCCGGTGCTCTTCACTGACCCCTCCCTTTCTCTTTTTTTTCTCTTTTCTTTAAAATCAATTTTAACCGTCCAAAATTGTGTTTTTGGATCGTTAAAAGCAGCTAAGCTGAGAAGCTAAGCTACAAGCTACACTAACAGGCCGACCTCGGGGGGGGGGGGGGGGATCCTCCGTCTTTTCGAAGATCAACATTCACGGTTGAAACCCGTGCCTTTGTGTTTTTCCTCTGCAAAAAGGAGCTGAGAACTTGTTTACTGATTTTTTTAATTAAAAGCTTTGTGTGAAAAATGCTATGCTAAAGAGCTCAAACCACACCAAGCATCCGCCATTTTGAGAACCAAAAACTAGGAAGGAGAGACAGCACATGTCACGTCAAGGGGGTCTCCCTCCCGTTTTTCTTAAAGAGACATGCTGCTCGCTCCCTCACTATCCATCCTTCGGTTCAAACAGTCTTATACTGCCATACTACACACAAAATAAAATTAGCCAACATTTCTTCTTAAATTTGACAATAATTACTAATTATTGTCAAATTTCAAACAATATCGTTTATCGCAATAATTTCTGCGACAATTAATCACCCAGTAAAATTTGTTATCGTGACAGGCCTAACTACAGCAGTGTCCTCTTGTTCTGAAAATAAATCACATATTGCAATAAACAGGGGAAACTTTTATCTTAAGGCCAGTGAAACAAGCGACATAATAACAAAACATTATGTTAAAAAACTAACCATAAAAAAACAGAAAGCATTAAATCTGTAGACGTTTACTGTAAAATTATTCAATTGTACCCACTCTAAAGAGTCAACTCCCCCTGCCAACATATGCAGGTGGTTGAGGGTGGTGATGGATGTAGTGAGGTGTCGTTTAGCATGGTCCAACTGCTTTATGTCCCTTGTAATCTCCTTTACCTGTGAAGGAATGGGCCAGAGAGTTTAGATAAACAAATGCCTGTTGAAAAGACTAGAAAAAAAAAAAGATAAAAATATTGACAAACCTGGATACAAACACAAAAGTAGAAACATCATTTAATTAAAAATACATTTTTCCATACATGCCTTTCTTCTTTAGTCCCATTCTTTGCACCTGGACACCAAAATTTCTATCTACTCACTTCTCTCTGACATAAACGTATAAAAGGCATCCATGACTTGCACAGACAACAGACTCACCAAACTGTCTTTGATAATGACAGAAGAAATACCACACCAACCAGCCCTAAATGGGATAAAATCATATTTTGTGTGTTCTTATGTGTGTGTGCTGTGTCAGTGTGTACCATTTGTTCAGACTTCTCTGCCTTGTCCTTAATGTCTTTGATTTTGCCAAAGAGTTGCTGGATGGCTATCTGGGCTTCCTCCAAAGCCTGCGCCAAACAAACAGAGCAACACCAAACATACGTGAAAATACAGATTTTGATGATACAGGCTCTGAAACATAAAAGGCAAAGCATCGAGTGAATTAATATAAAAATCTAAAGTACGGACATAGAGGTGCAACAAAACAAAAAAAAATTAATAAAAGAAATACATTATTTTATGATATGATAATTATGGGACCTGAAAATGCATTTATAATGGGTTTTCTATATGGTTGTTTATTCCTTTAAGGGACACTACAGGGTAGCAATGTTACTGTGAAGCATTTTTCAAATGCACTCAGAGATTTTTAGGTTTTGTCAAGAACAATCATGTTTACAGATAGCAACAACAACAACAACGATGATTTAAAAAAAGACAAAAACAGATGTGCGGGTGATTTTTTTCTCCCTATGAGACAGTCTAAGGCAGGGGTGCCCAAACTTTTTCTCTGAAAGGCTCAAAGTTAAAATCTATAAGAGGGCTGCGGGCCAAATACATGAAATGCAAATACTTCTTTAAGTTAAGTCCATTTATGTATTATACAGTTATTTATCCTTCCATTCTGTATAATGAACATTACATAACAGGCTGCATTCGTGTCAGGGGGGGTCCTCCTCCAAAGAATTTTGAATAAAGTTGAATATAGAATGAATGTTCAGTATAGAAGTGTCACCAACACTAAAAACAGTTATTGTCCCAGCTAAGCAATACAATACTTTTTTCCTTTTGAGTACTTCCAGTTAAATAAAAAATACAACAGTGATGATCCCTCTTAAACTTAGGGGTGCACAGATTACAGTTTCTGGACAATCACCAATTTCTAAAAAGTCTGACCTGCCAATTCCGATTTTGTCCGATACCGATTTTGTTTTATAAGCAATACTGTCAGGTGTTCTAAGGTCATCTCTTATTTTATTGAAAAATATACCCTTGAATAATATCCTAGAAACAATACAAACTTGTTTTAACCGTCCATGAAGTAGCGCTCTGCAATATAAATGAAGTTCAGATAATTGTTGTTAAAACAAACAAACAAACTAAAAAAAAAATCAGTAAAATCGGTTTCTCATGTAGGTATTGGCCGATTTTCCAAAATTAAGGATTTATCGTGCACTCCTACTTAAAATGTTTGTTGGGAACTTGCTTTACGAGTAATTTCAACGTAATCATTGTGCTTTATATTTTCCACAGATCTTTAATTATACACAATAAACGGAGTAGTTGATTGAGGGAGTGGTGGCGCAGAGGTTAGAGAAGGTGGGACTGTGATCGGAAGATCGCTGGTTCAACTCTCTGTACCGACAACATCAAACTGTGGGTGGGATAGGTGAAACACCCACACCTGCCTCCACCCTCATTTGTCCCACTCTGGGCCCTTGAGCAAGACCCTTAATAACCCCCATCATCTGCTCCCCCGGGCACCCTAGATAGCAGCTCTCTGCTCCACACAGAGGGCTGTGGTAGCTCAGTGGTCTGTGGTTGCGTCAGGAAGGACATCTGGTGTAAAAATAATTGCCAAGTCTTCGTGCGACTCAGTTCGTTGTGGCGACCACTGAAGAAAGGAGCAGCCGAAAGGAGGAAAAAATAAAAACTGGAGTAGTTGATCCAGAATAGTTTTGTTATATTTATTCATGTGTCAGAAAACCTGTAGGCAGCAGATAAAGTAAGTGAATCCCTTCAAAAGCTTTTTTTTTTTTTAAATGTCTCAGATAAAATAACTTGCATATCTCAGTATTTTAGTGTGTGAGGCAAGTACATGGTGGATGATTTGTATATAAATTGACATTCATTGCTGTGGCTATATGGGTAAAATTTTAAAAGAATAAACATTATGTATAATTTCCCCATTCACTATAACCATAGCACTTAATTTATGTAAAAATTATGCTGCTAATGTCCTTCACCAACATCTAGAATGGGGACACTCTTACAAACTGTACATCTAATTAGGAGGCGAAACAGATATTTAACATCGTTAGGGCTTAGGTTGACACATGGGCCAATTAGGCCAAGTTTAATATAGAAACTGTCACGATGAAGATTAAAGAGGTCATTATACAGACTGTTAAAATATCAAACATTTGACAGATGAAATCGTAAGACTGCTGCAGAGCTATTCTAATGTTTCCTCTTCATCTGACAAAGCAGCTGTTCTTTGATGGCCGTAAACAGAGATTTTGCCCCGACATCCAATACCAGGGTAATTGGCTTAATTTGGCCTGTTGCTGTGGCGGCACTGCAGACACAACTTTGACTCTCCTTTAAACAGACACAATGAATGCAAAAATCTGGCACCAGCTGTTGGAGGAATTTACCACTTTCACTGCACCTCAAGCAGATGAGGGGACAGTCATCTGGCAAACACACAAACAAAAATGCAGCAAGCACTTATAGGATCACATTAATTATACCACTATAATGGTGACACCTAGTCAAACTGCAAATGGTTAAAGCTGAATTTTCTCAAACCTAGCTAGAAATCTACAAACATCTGCTACAGAAGCCACACACAAGTCTGGTACCGATTAGCTTTTAGGCACAATAAACAAAATGTGCTTCCCATTCATCCTTCTTTCTTTTTATGTTTTATTATATGTTCTTTTGGTCAGTGGGAACTGGAGGAATTAATAGAACAAAATGAAGGCAGGTGAAGTGATATTTCTTTGATTTCAACTCAAAGAGGATGAGAGTGCCACTGGATTTTTCAGGAGGTTTCCTGCAGTAGCTCTTGAGCAAACAAATTGCACACATGAGAGCAGTAGTCTCAATGCTGCAGTTGTTGCGAATGCAAACTCAGCTGAGTCAATCTGGCTTGCTTCCGAGTACTCGTTTCCTGTATTTAGCCTTGAGAAAAGCTCAGAAGATCAGTGCCCAGCAGGCGCCTCCATGCCAGAGATGTTATCTAAACCACACACAAACCTGTGCATCTCTAACGTTCAACAAGCAGCACATGTTGCTGCTGTATTGTACAGTTTGGACAAGAAGCAGCAGAGCCTCCATTTAAACGTTTGAACATGTTCGTGATGAACAACTCTTTCTTGCAGACATCAAAGTAGTATTTTAATGTAGGAAGAATACTAAAAAATACTGCATTTTTCAGTAAATACTACAATCAGTCAGATCAACTAAACAAGGCTTTAACTCCTAAACTACAGCAAAACTTAACATATGAAACAATACCTGAGAATTATTCCTTATATGAACATTATATCTAGACAAAAAGGACTGGAAATAACTCAATGTTTTGATGTTATCTGAGAGCCAGGTGTAAAAATGTAGTACCTCGTGTACACTGTGATGCACTTCTACGCTCTATTATTTTTCTGTCATTTAAAACTGAAAGGAAAACATTTCTTAAAGCTAGTGTTTGTCGAGAAGAAAAAATCAGATGAACATATATATATATATATATATATATATATATATATATATAAATAACAAAAAAAAAAATATATATATATCTTTAAATATTTAACTCGGGCTAAGAATGTGGCACTTTTTTTTCACAAATCAAAACATAATGTAGAAATATGTAGGGATGTAAATCTAAAAGAAATTACAAACTAGCATTTACTATTGCTCATTGACACTAAAGGTGTAAACATATACATTTGCAGAATAACCGTGGAATAAAAAATGTCAAAAACTTATTTTGTGTGAAAAGAAAGTCAAAAATCGGATTTTGCTTCTTCCCTGTTATATCAGCTAAACACTAAAAAGTAGGGATGCACAATATCAGCATGGTATCGGCTGATATAAGCGGGAAAGTTAAATATCAGACATCGGCCATTCCATCAAAATAACTCACCAATATAAAAGGCACAATTTTTGTATGACAACCCAATGACAAGGATGCCTGCAGCGCTAGCACAATGTGATGACGTCACATGCACCTACCTGATCTGATCACGGCGGAGAGGAAAACTCAAAATGACAGCAGCGTGGAAGGTTTTTTTTTAGTAGGTGAGGATGTCAGATTCCGAAGATTTTTGGACTACGTTGAGCCTTGCTACATCGTCCCCAGTCCGAGATATTTTTCTGACGTAGCCTTACCTGAGTTACAAGCCATCATTTCCGATGTCAATGAGAAGCTAATAGCTGATAGCACTTGGGTGAGTTTTAATACAGACGTCGAGTGTTAGCCTTGTTAGCATGATTAGTTTTACAGCACAACGGATAGACAAAATCTTTTAACTTAAAACGGCTGTCCTTCATGCACAAGAGTGCAGAGGATCCCTCACTGCAGCTAGA